GCCCCCCTCTGGACTGTTGGATTAGTAGTGATGCCATTTGGGGCAGATAAGAAAACAGCCCAGCTCCATGGGTTGAGATTTTAGCCAGCAAATCGCAGGCTGCATTTGAGACCCCATTGTGCAGTCCACAAACTGTACTCCTCCACACAGCAGGCCTGTCTTTCTAGCAGCTTCTTCTCTCTCGTGGCTCTTTCTCCTGAAACTTCCCCCAGACCACTTGGGTAGCAGTCCTCTCAACCAGAAGACAACCTGCCTTGCCGCTGAAGTATCAGCCCCTGCTCTCCAGCCACCCCATCCATCCCAAACACACGCTTGTCTTCCTGAAGCTCGGCCGTGAACACGTGCTGAACACAGAGCTTCCACCCTGGCCTGGGTGCCAGAAAGCTGGCTTCTAGCCCTCAGTTGACACTAACTTGCTTTGCAAGCTTGCACCGGAGATGCACTGAGACACCCCCCCCCCCCCGAGCTTTGGGTCCCTATGTCCACTCCCACATGGAGACAGAGGAACCATTTGTCCAATCAGTTCCCTGGAAGATTCCACTCTTCCTTCTTCCTTTTTTTTAAATAATATTTTATTGTGTTTTCAGTGAAGGTTTGTTTACACAGCAGTGTAGATTCCCATTCACCAATTTCTACACAAATTGTTCAGTGACATTGGCTCCCTTCTTCACAATACAGGAATATTCTCATTATCTCTCTTCTGGTTGTTCCATTTCCAGGAATCTAGTGTCCCTGGCCCCTTACCTTCTCATCTTTGTTTTAAAGTCATTGTTGACCGTTTGGTCTCATAGGGTAACTTTTTAAAGAAGCACAGTCCTCACAGGTGTGTCATTATTTTGTGAGCCAATCTGTTATTTAAGGAAAAAGTGACCTTGGGGGCTAGTTTTGATTCAAGGTTTGAGGACTGTCTCAAGGCAATAGTCTTGGGGAGTCCTCTAGTCTCCACTGTTTTTTTTTTTTTTTTTAATTGTGATTTGGGTAAAAGTTCTGATCTCCTTCTGCTCTCCCATGGTTGACTGTTCTAAGGAGTGCATCTCCCCGATGTAATTGTTCATCTTGTAGGTCTGTCTGTTGTTTGCCTGGGAGCCACAGGAGTGAGTTTAATTGCAGACCCAGAGGGTGACTAGGGGTCATAGTCTTGGGGGTTTGACCAGTCTCTGTTAAGTCTGGATTTTTTCAAAAAGAACTTGCCATTCTGTCCTATACTTTTCTTCCATTCTATCAGATTCCATCTCTTGTGCCTCTGATCAGAACAGTCAGTCGTGGGAGCCGGGCACCATCTAGTTCTTCTGGTCTCAGGGTAGATGAGGCCGTGGTTCATAGACCATTAGTTGACCACTGTGCCTAGTTCAGAAGACTTTGATTTCTTCCTGTGACCCTGGGCTCTTGATCTTATAGGAAGATGGTTACCTTGCTCATAGTAAGAGAAACACACATTGAAATCACATCACGATTCCAATTTTCAGCTGTTGTGTTGAAAGCGATGAAAACATCTCCTGACGGTTTGGCACCCTCCCTCCCCAGAGTCCATAGTTAGGCCTTTCAAGCTTCTTCCTTGTCTCAGGATCTTTCTGCAGCCTGGCTCACTTCTTCTCCTGAGCGGTGAACCTCGGGGCATTTTCAGCTCAGCCAACCGAACCCCAATTTGCAACCAGTGAAGGGGCAGACAGCAAGGGAAGGCCAAGTGGAGAACAGGGTGGAGTCACCTCAATATGTCTAATTTTAAAAGCATCTGAGTAATGTCACTACTTTGTCTGTTGTCCTTTTGTTCAACTTTTACAAAAAAAATAACTCTGTTCATTTTCTTCTTAAATTTCAGATCATATGAAGGAAGGCAGTAAACCCGAGCCGACTATCAACAGCCACGGTTTTGTAATTGCACACTCTGTAGACCTAAGAGCTGACACGTGGGATACAGGTTAGGAATCTCTGTGTGGTGCAAACCGTTCCGCGCTCACCAAACAAAAAGGTTGGTGGTTCACACCCACCCACAGCCTCCTTAGAAGAAGGGCCTGGTGTTCTGGGAAAAGGTCACAGCTGTGACGGAAACCCTCTGGGGCACAGTTCTATGCTGACACACACAGGGTTGCCAGCAGTCAGATTCAACTGGACGGGAACGGCATTGGGTTTGGTTTGTTGTTGTTGTTGTTGTTGTTTTTTGGGTTTGGGGACACAGGCTCAGGGGATTCCTGCAATATCCTGTCACTACAGCATCACACACCTTGAGGCAACCCGGTAACACTTGAGTGGTAGAATGAAAGCCACCCCGTTTTAGCGACATAGATGGCAGGTGTTCATATACCAACTCAGGGATCAGTACCTGCAGGGGCCTGGACCAAGGACAGGAGGTGGACAAGTAGCGGGAGCTGGGGATTAGGTGGAAATTCAAGTTCTGTTTGTTCACACAGACTGTGAAACTTAGCCTCAGTGTTTTGGTTTTTGATTTTAAAATGCTATGTAGTGCCTAAGGCGTTTGACTGCTAACCAGAAGGCTGGTGGTTCAAACCCACCAGCCACTCCTCAGAAGGCAGATTGAACAGTCTACTTCCATAGATATACTGCCTTGGAAACCCAAGGAGGGGTCGCTATGAGACAAATCCACTCGATGGCAGTGTGTTTGGTTTTTTGGTTTATTTTCTCTTTTAGTTATTTCAGAACTTGTTTCCCATTCCTCTTTGGGAGAATAGTGATTAATTAACAAGTATGTTAACTGACAGACAGAGCTCAAATGATGTTGAGAGAGCTTCTTTGCTTTCCATCATTAGGTCTGATTCCACGGAGACCTGCGCTTGTTCGAGTCATTGTGGCTGCGTGCACAGCCCTCAGCATTGCTCTGCTAGGTGGGATCGCTGTCTTCTGTATGGTACGGTAAGGACATACTAGATAGCACCGACATCCTCGGGAAGAGAAAACAAATTAGCTAGGCTATTAGTTAGTGCCAAAGGGTGGTGATAATAGTGATGATAATAATTGTTAAAATCATGAAACTATTGGAGTCATACAGTTCATGAACTGGGTCTAGTTATCAATGAAAATCATGAAGCAGAACAGAATATAATGTGGAGTGGAAAACATCAGAATTCATTGCATATATTACAGTAAACACTGATTTTTGAGCTGTTCCCCTGCACACGCCCACATGTGGTTGTAATGTAAAACTATTTCTTACTGTAGGTTATGGTCAAAAATGTTTGAAAGCCTGTGTGTGAGATTCTGGGATCTTCTTAGTGTCCCTCCAGAAACATGGTGCTCTAAAACGAACCCAGTGCTCTGGGTGAGACCTGAACAGTGCAAAGCAGAGAAAAACAACCACTCTCTTTCTCACTGTGGTTAGGTGCCATAGAGTCAGCTCCACTCACAGTGACTCCATGTATAACAGAGCGAAACCATGCCTGGTGCTGAAAACCCTCATCATCACTGTGGTTAGGTCCCATCGAGTCAGCCCCACTCACAGTGACTCCATGTACAACAGAGTGAAATGATGCCTGGTCCTGAACCATCCTCATCATCACTGCTATGCTTGAGCCCATAGAGGGTTTTGTTCGTTTGTTGTTACTATGATTTGGGTGAAATTGTGCAAAGCAAATTCATTTTCCATTCAACAGTTCCTCTACATTTTGTTTTGTGACATTGATTGCAATCCCCATTTCCTTGCTGTGGTTACCTTTTCCCTGTGTCCTTCTTTCCCATGTAGTCTTGCCCTCTGAGCTATCTCCCCATTCAAATGCTGCCCTAAGTACTACTGTGCTTTACTAGAATTACAGAGGAACCAGCCATGTTTCTTCTGATCTCCCATGGTTCATGGTTCTAAGGAGTGCGCCTACCTGGTTTAATTGTTCACCTTGTAGGCCTATCTATTGCTCGGCTGGAAGCCACAGGAGTGAGTTCAATTCCAGGCCCAAAGGGTGACTAGGAGCCATAATCTTGGGGGTTTCACCAACCTCTATCAGGCCAGTGAGCCTGGTCTTCTTCTTCTTTTTTTTTTTTTTTTAATGATTTTGAGTTTTGTTCCACATTTTTCTCCTGCTCTATCCAGGATCTCCTATTTCGGTACCTTTCCAAGTGGTTGGCAGTGGTAGCTGGGCACCTTCTAATTCTTCTGATCTCTGGGTCTTGTAGGCTGAGCTTCCTATGATCACTAGTCCCTTGGACTAATTGTTCCATGTGTCTTTGACTTTCTCCATTGTGCCCATTGTTGACATCACTGTGTCAATCCATCTCATTGAGGGTGTTCCTCTTTTTCACTGACCCTATACTTTACCAAAGGAGCTCTGGTAACACAGTGCCTAAGGCATTTGACTGCTAACCAGAAGGTTGGTGGTTCAAACCCACCAGCCACTCCACAGAAGCAAGACTGGGCAATCTACTTCCATAAAGACTTACCACCTCAGAAACCCAATGGGGATCACTATGAGTTAGAATCAACTTGATGGGAGTGGGTTTTTTTTTTTTTTTTTAATACCTTACCAAGCATGAAGGAGTTCTGGTGGCATAGTGTCTAAGGCATTTGACTGCTAACCAGAAGGCTGGTGGTTCAAATCCACTAGCCACTCCTCAGAAGGAAGATTGGGCAATCTACTTCTGTAGAGATACGACCTCCAAAACCCAAGAAGGGGTTGCTATGAGTCAAATCTGACTCAATGGCAGTGAGTTGGTTTTTAGATGTATATATATATATAATTTATCTAACTTATGGGTTTTTTTTTTTTTTGGTCAATCCTTTAAATATTGTACTTGAGACAAGTGCCTGCACTCTTGGGAATTATGAGACTGCCCCCCTTCCTGTCTACACAGGCGTTGGACAACTGACTATGATCACCTTGGTTCCAAAGTCTATTCCTGCCTCCTTCCCCCACTTCCCGCCTTGTACAATGCCTCCTTTCCAGTCAAAAGGTCACATGAGTGAGACTGGATGGTTTACTGTGAAAATTGCACTCCTGAACTCATCTGTGCTACTCTCCAGCCGACTGGTCCAGGCTGAGGAAAAACAACAACTTGCAATGCTCTACAAGAATGTCAGGATACCGATAGGAGACGAAGAAGACGGCTTTGAGGACCAGGACCAGGATGAGTCCACTTACCTGCTTCCAGAGAATGAGAAGGAACTAGAGAAGTTCATTCATTCAGGTAGAGGGTCTTCCAGCTCACCTTGTCAGCCCCACAGCCCCACGAAGGCTAAGGTGGCTATGATGCTTTGCTTTCCAAAGGCAAAGCTAAGTGGGAAGTAGTGGGGTTTGAGGTGAGAAAGGTGAATATTTATGGGCCTTCGTACAGAAATGAAAACTGTTTTCATCTGATTGCACAGATGGACAAATAGCTATGGGGTTGCCTGATGCCTTCTGCCGGGCAATTCTGAGGACCTTCAGCACAGTGCAGGAAACGAACTTTCTTCCTGGACAAAGCATTTCCCTTAAACGTAGTTATGAATGTGGCGTTGTTCCTGCATCAGGGCTCCCCGGGTGGTGCGAACCCTTTGCACTCCACTGCTTCACTAGAGATCGGTGGTTTCAACACACCCAGTGATGCCGCTCGAGAGCCCTGGGGATCTGCCTCCTTAAAGATTGCAGCGAGAAACCCCAACGGAGTGATTCTGCTTTGTGACACGTGGGGTCATCACGAGTCAGAACAGACTCGATGGTGATGAGTCTGTTTGTTTGTTGTTCCTGTTTTTAGAGCCCAAAACCCACTGCCACTGAGTTGATTCCAACTTACAGAGACCCTATAGGACAGAGGAGAACTGCCCCACAGGGTTTCCAAGGCTGTCAGTCTTCATGGAAGCAGACTGCACATCTCTCTCCCAAGGTGCAGCTGATAGGTTCGACCCCTGACCTTTCGGTTAGCAGCCAAGTATTTTATGGAAGCAGACTGCCACATCTTTCTTCTGCAGAGCACCTGGGTGGGTTCAAATCACCAACTTCTGATTAGTAGCCAAGTGCTTTAACAGCTGCAGCACCAGGTCTCCCTGCATGTAGAAGTCAGATAGGCACATCTTCTGCCTGTACCTACTACCTGACTCTGAGGTGTCCACACATCAGAGTCCCCACCTCCTGGTGAAGGCCCCTGTGGGAGGGATGCCCATCTTGGATGTCTTCCACATTGTCTTGTAAGAAGACAGTGTAGATGCTAGTGTAAACTTGATGTCGTAGGAGAGCTTAGATGTTCTTGAACGCCTGTCTAGAAAACTAGAACAAAAGTATGTAGAAAGTACAGTGCCTGATTCCTTCATGTTAAGTTTGCCCTGCATGGGTTTCCTCTCTGACAACTCAAGGCACAGATAGAAAGAGGTGGACAGGCCAAGAGTGTTGTTGTTATGTGCCGTTGAGTCGGCTCTAATTCATAGCGACCCCTCCTTGGGTTTCTTTTGGAAGTAGATTGCCCAACCTTCCTTCCAGGGAGTGGCCAGTGGGTTTGAACTACCAGCCTTCTGGTTAGCAATCAAGTGCCTTAGGCACAATGCTACCAGAGCTCCTATGCCAAGAGTAGCATGCATTATTTTTGCTTTTGGAGGCAGGTGGCCCTTACTGTACCCAACAGAATGCCTGTCGTTGCACTAGATTATCACACTTCTACACTTTTACACTTATCTCCATTTTCTTTATGAGAAAACTGAGGGAGACAAAATAAATATGACGTCAGACTCTAACCAAACCGAACTCACTGTCGTAGAGTCGATTCCGACTCATAATGACCCCTGTTGGGTTTCTGAGGCTGTAAATCTTTACAGAAGTAGATTGCCCCATCTTCCTTTTGTGGAGTGGCTGGTGGGTTTGAATCACCAATACTCAGGTTAGCAGTCAAATGCCTTAGGCACTGAGCCACCATCACTGCCCATTAAATCACACTGTTTACACCTTTATCTTCTGAATACTTCTTCCCTCACCCTTTCTGTCTCTGTTCCAGTCCCCCTTTACTGGTATCTCAATAACACTGTGTTCTGTTTTTCAGTTATTAAATCAAAAAGGAGGAAAATTATTGAAAAGAAGAGGTCAAGTGAGAAACAAAAGTTAGTAAATGAAAAGAAAACAGAGGGTGTCACACACCATGCCAAAATGGAACATTTGTGAAACCAAATGAAGGAGACATGGGACATGCCGGACAGCACGGAGGAAATGGTGGCAGGATGACAGATGACTGGGAAGCCACGTGTGACTTACCCTCAACGGACCTGGTAGGAGAACTCTCGGAAGAAGAAAACCAGAAGTTTCTAACAGAAAATAAATTTATATTATGTAGTAATTCTTGCTTCTTCACTATCATAGTTCACGAATCACTATCAATTAGAAAACAGAAATTCAGCTGTGTAATGGTGAAAGAGTAACTGTCAGGATTTTCTTGTCTTGCTTCTGTCTAAAAATGCAGCTAATATTTTTGGGTTGTATCCCAGAGCACACTAAGGAAGCACCTCTATTAAACAGAACTCTCCAGTGGCGTGAACCATCAATTCCAGTACTTATCTCCATTTTCTTTGTGAGGAAACAGAGGATGTCAAAATAAAGATGACATCAGATGAAGACACAGTCATCCATGCCTTTGGCACCTGGGACCTAGTGGGGAATAAGACTTTAGTCTAGGAGCTAGGAGCCACAGCCAGAAGTATCTGGTGGTACAAGCAGGGACCTGCCAAGAGCTGGGGTTCTTGCATTGCACCAAAGGTTTATGCTGGACCACTGCCCTAAAGGCTGGTGGTTTGAACCCACCCAGCCACTCTGCAGAAGAAATGTCTGGCAGTCTACTTTCCATACAAATTTCAGCCAAGACAACACTAAGGCACCCAGCTGTAACACATGGGTGGCCGTGAGTTGGAATCGACTCCACAGCAGTGGGTGTTTTGGATCAACAGCTGTGGTAATAAAACAAAGACAAGGCTTATCTAAATGGTATTGTTTGAAAAACTATCTGACAAAAAGTTAAATACAGTTTAGAGTTACCACATGACCCAGTGATTCCACACATAGGTATATACCCAAGAGAACTGAAAACACATGCACATACAGAAACTTGTATGTGGATATTTATAGGGGCATGTGCACAGTGGTCTAAAGTTGGCAACGGCCTGAATGTCCATCAGACAAAACGTGCTCCATGCACACAGTGTACTACCACTCAGCAATACGACGGGAGGGAATATGGGTACATGCTACCACATGGGTGAATTCTGAAAACATTGCTAAATCAAACAAGCAAGACACAAAAGGCCAAATACTGTTATGAGTCCACCTCTACAGAATGCCCAGAATAAGCAAATCCAGAGACAGAAGGTGGATTTCAGCTCTCATAATACACTTAGAGCGGTGGGTGGTGCACCAAACCCAACCCAAACCCAACCCCCACTCATAGTGTTACTACAAGACAGAGTGGAGCTGCCCACAGGGTCTCCAAGGCTGCAACGTTCACGAATGCAAGGCCCAAACCACACCCACTGCCTGGAGTCCATTTCGACCCACAGCGCCCCTAGAGGACAGAGTGGAACTGCACCACAGGGTCTCCCAGGCTGTCAATCTTCACAGAAGCAAAGCCCAAACCAC